AAGGCGTAGTAATAGAACACGCAAACAAAAACCAGAACTAAATCAGCACTAAAATGAAATAGATGTTTATTTGTCTCTATTGTGACTATGTAGGGGTCAAGAGGCTAGACTAGTATGGTTCTATTCCACAAAGTCACTTACTATCCAACATTATTTCTATTTTTTTGCTCCATCAATTTTATTATCAACAGTCTGGTTAAAGCTGGTCTCTACCATATGTGGGTCTGGTCCAATGGGAGGGAAAGAAGGTGGAGAAACATAGCTCAGAGTTTTAATTTGATTTATTTTTAAAAGATATTTTTATGCATAGAAGAACTGGTGCAGAGGTAAAAGGGGTGGAGTTTGGGGGGGAGGTGAAAGGATTCATCAGAGACAAAGTGGGGAGCAGAATAGGTAGAGCTACTGAAATACACTGCTGAGGAGAGCAACTGGCAAGATAGGAGAGGTCTGCTGTGCCATGTGGGTCAGTTCTCAGGCTGGGGATTGAACTCATGTCTCAGTGGCTTCTGATAGCTTTAGAGTGCTGAGACTTTACCCCCTCTGCCACCAGGAAGGTCCAGCTCAGAGTTTTTAAGCTCTAGAGTGAGAAGTGGTCCATTTGCCTTCTGCTCACAAGCCATTGGCCCCAAACTAGGCACACAGCTACCACTAACTATGGCAGAGTAGTTATGTAGAATTTCTAGCTAAATCTGTTACTCTGAAAGAAAGAAAGTGGATTTGGAGAGGGGTTAACTATCAGGTTGCCATCATTTTCTCTGTTAGGCATGCACTGTGATAAGGAGTTTGGGGAAAAGACTTCAAATCTAGTAAGGAGAGATGTGTTTGACATCAAAAAGTTGCCTATTGCCAGTAATTATGAAATAAAAAATAAAGGTGGACGGGTTGGGGATAAAGGAGCCATATGTGTCGAGAATTTTGAGAAGGCTTTGCAAAAACAGTTTTGGTAGAATAGGCAGAGTATTTTAACACTGAGGGCTTTCAGTTTTGGGGGGTGGGGGAGATTGAATCTAAATTAGTGAACTTGAAGCCATATGAGATGCTGAGGAGTGGGATGGGGTCAAGGCATGTCAGCACATGTTGGAATCAAACCAGAAAGAGCCTTCATTGTTATGCTTAGACAATGGAGAGTATGGACTCTTTTCATCCATCAATCATGAATAATGGAAGCTTTCTGAAAAATCTGTTAATATGTGTAGTTTCAGTCAGTATATTTTAATTTCAACTTTACATCCTCTATCTAGTCACCCTCCATCTTTTCATATTGATTCAATACAAACTGAAGTTATCCAACATTATGTGGAAATTCAGCCTTAAAATTTTTGTTTGTTCTAGTGATTAAAATAAACACTGCAAAGTTATAGCTTCACTTAAATTGCCCCAGAGAGAATTAGAGTTGGAGAAGGAGGGTGTCAGAATACAGCCAAAAAAGTCTTCGTGAGAACTGGGACAGCAACTGAGAAGGAGTACTTAAAGAGGATGTAAATAATCCTAAATGAAAAGTCAGTTCTCTGATGTGATATTTTGGTGTGATGTGGAAGACTGATTAAGTTTTTCATGAACTTAAACTTGGATCTGTGCAGTAGATTATCAAAGGGGTGTCACTAGAGTCACTTCCGTCCCAGTCTGTGGGGAAATTCCCAGTACCATTGATGAGAATTGTGCTTAAAGATCATGGGAAGAGCATGGCCCTTGAGTTTTCTCTTAAACAGCCTGTAGGATTTGTTATGCTTATTTTAATGCCAGGTCCTTGGAGACACTCATTTCAGTTCTGCCTCTACCTTAAACATGTTGTAAGGGACAAAAGTTGTGACCAGGAACCCCAAGAGATGTAGATGTCTTTTGCATTCTTTCTTTCTTTTCTGCAATTAATTGATTCCCAAAGAGGAAACTTCTTGTTCTCTAAGTGACCAGCCCTTCAATAACAAAAATGGTTGGAACCAGTGAGAAAGGTAACTACCCTGCCTCACTATCTCTTACATGGCTAAGCACTCTGGGGGTTCTGAGACACTTAGGTGGCAGACACCTGGAGTATTTAGAAATGTCTGTGGGCAGGAGAAGAGGAATTTTACAAGAGAATTTGTTGAGTAGAGTGAGAAATAATGGGGGATAATAGACTGGAACTGTGGTGTGGAATAAGGTCAAGCAGAAAAATAGAAATATGTAAGACCAGCGCTGTTTTCTCTCCTAGCTCCCAGTAAATCTGTGTATGCCACCACTTTGGGTCCTCGCGTGCCTGCTCTGTACATAGGAGGAAGTATCGATTTTGATTTTGAGGTGGAAGTGTCTCTTCTGCAATCTTGGCAGGCCAGCCTGGTTTTTTCACCTTTGGGCCATCAGAATCAGAGTATCTGTTGGCTATCAGTCTTTGCTCTTCCTTTAAGATAAATACCTCATTGTTTTTGGACAGATGGTAAATGTCAGACTTGGTGGATGTTCCATATATATATTATTGGGTGAATAATAATAATAATGAGAATACAAAAATATGCTCTATAAGAAAAATGCTTCCCTTCATACTTTGTGATGTATTGCACACCACATGTATACGCCATGTGTTACTTAATGATGGGAATACATTCTGAGAAACGCTTGGTTAGCCAATTTCCAATGACACAGCATGTCATTACACAAATCTATTGGTAGATGGCGTCACCTACTACACGCCTAGGCTCAATGTACAGTCTAGGGGGTGTGTGGGAGCCAATGGGACATATCTGACTACAGTGTTATAAAGCGATGTATGATGGTATTTGATGATAGGGAGGCAGATAGCGTCAGAGAATTCAGCAAGCACTGGCGGAGAGTGGATGTGGTCTTTGCTGCTGAGTCTTTGAGAGATCAGATTCATTTTGCAGCAAGTTTTTGTGTCTGTCCTAGAGCAAAAATGCATTGCTTTGAACTATATTCACTAAGAATCTGGCTAATTTCAAGGTAGTCCTTTTATTTCAAACCTCTTGTTCTGGGTAAATTAAACTACTTGTAGGCCCTTCAACCTATCAATTCAGTCTTCTCCCAAAATTTATGTGGTAGGTGCTCTAATCATTTTGAATTTTTCTTTGCTTGGGGAAACTGAGGTAAATGAAATTTTTTGTCAAGACCTCATGGATACTAAGCACTGAAGGTGAAATGTATCCCTAGAAAATCTGGCTGCAGAGACTATCTTCTTATTCACTATATGATGCTGCCCCATGAGAGGGCTATTGGGTGGAAACAGAAATAATAACAGGAGAGACCCAGGAAGTTTTTTAGAAGAAATATGTTCCCTGTAGATACAAGTCCCAGCCACAAAAGTATGCATGGCTCTGTTTCAAAGTGTGGCATTAACACTATGGTATATGGTGGAATGATCACAGAGCGTGGTATAGTGGTGAGAGGCAGGGGCTTGTGTTCTTCCAGAAAGACTTCAGTTTTCATTCTGAGACAAATGAAAGCTGGAGGAATGTATTAAGCTTGGGATGATAATGTAATTTAAAATAATATTGTGGCTTCTGTATGAAGACTTGGAAGGAGTGCAGAACCTAATATAATGTACTTAAAATCAATTTATGATTCAGAATGATACACAACATAGACACCTATGTAATCTTACTGTATAGTACCAAAGCTATTAGTCAACAAAATGTTTTAGCAAACAGGTTCTGAAACCATTGTAAACATTAGTAGGTTTTAAGAAAATGTTGATTTCATGTGGCTTTTTTTGTTCAGTGTGACTATCACTAGCAAAATCATGTTGCTGAGTCTTAACATCAGGGGTCCCAGCAAACTCTTGACTTCCCCACTAAGGCGGTAGTAACTAGGTCCTTGTGCAGACCTTTGGATGACAGCTGGAAGGTTGTCTGAGAAGTTGCCGCTCTTTGTAGCAAGATTTGGGCCTTCTGTACCAACATCACTGTCTGTCCCCAGCAGCCTGCATCACTTCCACAAACATTGGGCAGCCACCGAGTGGCAGTTAAGCACCTTGCCTGGTGTGGCATCTGCCCTTCAGTCTCTTCAGTTGCCCTGGGCAAGGGGGTGTGGAGAGCCAGCATCTCTCATCTGTTGGACTAAGTCTCATTGAGGGCGATTTTTCTTTAGCAGCCTGCACTGGAATGTTTCTATGTTCTCAAACTGGCATAGCTACATCTCTTTATACTGGTGGTAAGCCGCTCAGCTTGGACCATGGAGAAGTGGTAGAGGCAGAGAGAACTGGTGTAACTCTGAATACATTTTGAAGGCAGACCTAACAGGTTTTGCTGTGGGTAGCATGGGAAATATGGAATAGAGGTGTCTAGTACAACTCCCAGCTTGTGGTTTGACTTGGGAAGGACAACATCTGTCAGTGGAAATGAATTCTTTGCTTTTTAGACGAACATTGGAAACTCATAGCAGGTATTCAAGTGCGGCCTTGAGTACCCACTTGATATGAGTTGGGTTTCAAAGGGGTTATTAGGATTTTTCAGGAATGATAACCTGAGCGACCTGAGAAATAATTTCCATTCATCTTGTTAGATTCATGAGTCTTTTGTTTAAGTAAGGATTTGAATATACTCAATATTACTGTCCTGAATGAAATTTGAAAGACCCACATATCTGTATGAAAGTTTACCATGAGCTCAGCATTCTGTTACATATGTGCAAAATAAGAACAAAACCACAGTCTATCAATCCAGCATGCTTCTCTATGCCCTTATCCCTTCCTTTGAAAAATACTGAGAATGATTATGTCAGTATTTGACAGAACAGCTCATTTAGCAATATTGGATAACGTTAAGCTCAAAGGTGATGCCTGACTTAGGATATTCCTGGGAAGGAACTTAAAATTTAAAGATAGGAGGTGGAACACTCAAAGAAGGTTGTAGGGTTTCCATGCTACAGCAGACCCAGATAAAAAGCTCAAAAGAACATTTTAGCATTTGGAAATAAAAGCCAAAAATATAGCTGTCTTAAGATGACAGAACTCAAATATGGAGAGCGGGAGAGAGAGAAGCTTTAACTGGGGATAGTTGTATAAGAGAAATCACAAAGCTACAGTAAGTACGGAGAACATACCTTAATAAGAGTCCATATAGGGTTTCCCTGGGAGGGGGTTGCTCTGCTAAGAAGTGAGCCAAAAAATGTAATGGTCAGAGGACAACCAGTCCTAAGTGAGACAGGATGGCCCAGTTTTCCTGGAAAGCTCTCTGAAGTTCTGGCCCAGGTTGCCCCCCAGGGTCAAAAACCTCAAGGTCATTGTGAAGGGCTTGTGGGAGAAAAGAGTCTTTACAGGCCGCGTTTGCCCTGGGCTTCTTACTAGATGAACTGTAGAGGAAAAGGGAAAGCTGCATATGTGGCCATTCTCTGAAGGTGCCACAAACATGATTTTGGTTCCCCCTGCTCCGCCCGATTCTATGGGCATTTCCAGGGTGAACCACAAAACCGGAGACTTGGGGTTTCACTCACTAAACATTTCAATGTTTCAGACATTTCAATAATTTCAAGCATTTCAATAATTCACAATTACTCTTTGGCAAAATTCTGTATTTAATGTCCACTACTGTTATTGTCACTGTTGCATTTGAAATGGAGAGAAATGGGAGCATTTTAGTTGAACACATACTTAGGCCTAGCACTGCCATGTACACACATCTAAGCCAAGTGGGAGCCATGGACCCCGCTGGGCATTACTGTTTATTGCTACAAAGGTGCTATTGTTTGAGTGTGAATATCATCTAGTACATTAAGATGCAGAAGGACAAATGCCCATGTTCCAGCTCTGGTACAGTCTGCTGTGTCCTGCGTAAAATAGCAACACTGAATCGAAGACCTCCCTGGGCTTGTCTTGCTGTCACGATTCCGATGTGTTTTGACTTCCTTCTGGAGTCATAAACTGCACCTTTGGCACAATGAGGGAAGAGTTGTTCCTCCGGATTGAGTTGCTCCTCCTCATGGAGTTGTTCCTTCTCATGGAATTGCGCTTCCTCAGAGAATTCTGGTGGGACAGTTCACTCTTCTGGAGGGTCTGAATGAGGATGGAGGGCTTCTCATCCAGCTCTCGGGCACTGCACCTCGGGGCGGCTACTTTAACTGTGTTGCCGAATTTAGAGTAATCCACAGAATATACTCCTTCTTCCTCAGTCACAATAGACACAAAGCGGTGACCCCACTGGATCTCTTCAGCGATGTAGGAGGTTCTTGCTTGTGTGGTGATGCCAGTAGTCTCCACCACTCCTTCCAGAATCACTATGACCTCCAGGTCTTGGTTGGCAAGGTCAGTTGCTGAGATGTCGTACAAGGGGCTGCGTTTGTCAATCACATGGCAGATGATCAGTGGAGCCACGAGAAAAATGTTATTACTCTCGATCGGGTTGTCAACAGGAATGTCCAGTTGGTGGATGGGCACCACCTCCCCCTCAGGGGTAGTGGTCTTCTTGACCACCTGGATGCGCACAGAGGCACTGATGATCATGCTTTTCCTGAGATCACCCACTCGGAACATGAAGCACAGCTTGCCATTTCGGACGGCAATCACGGCGTGGCGGCTGAAAATCAGAGTCTCTGCCCTTCGGTGTGCCTGAGCTGTCTTCATGAAAATGCAGCCCAACATGACTGCATTGATGATCAAACCCACGATGTTTTGGAGAATCAGCACTGTGATGGCCAGGGGACATTCCTCTGTCATCATCCTCCCTCCAAATCCTATTGTCACTTGAACCTCAATGGAGAAGAGAAAAGCAGAAGTAAAAGACCTGGAAGGAATGATAAGAGAAAACAAATTTTCATCAGCTCACACTTTAAAGAATGGAATAACATGCCATTATTTTTTTTTTTTTTGCCCCCTTCAATATGGCCAAGCTAACTTGTGCTGTGCCAGCTTCTAAACAAAAGAGCTTCTCTCACTCTTTCTCTACCTGCCTACTTCTGTCTCTTTCCATCTTTTGTATCCATCTACCTCCAGACTTGTGGGATACAATTCTGGCACTGTTTTCTAGGTTATGAAATGATAGGCCAACTTTGTCTTGTGTGAAAACATTGAAATATATATCATTATGTTTATAGGCAAATTTTTACTTTGTGAAATACTGTCACAAAGACATAGTGCAGTTCGTGAATCCTTCCATCAGGTAGATGGCTATTACTACATTTTTGTGTTTCACTGACTTTAAGCATATAGAAGGTACTAAGTAATGAGTCAACTTTTTATTTATGAACTTTAAAATCATTAACTCTTGTATACCATAATAGAGAAAGCATACAACTAAAAAGTGCACTAAACAACTTATTGAAAAATACTGTTTTTGATAAAAATGTTTTGCCAATTGGAGAGGAAAAAAATGCTTTTTTCCCCCTAGAAAACACTGAAGCTATTAAAGGACGAATTAGAGGCAGATCATTCAGTAAATGGCCATGTCCATTAATCACACACCAGGAATGTACACAATGTTTGAATATCTGAATTCTGAGTATCTGCACTGCATTTTGGTCAGACACAGAGGTGAGTAAATATGTGATAATTCTTGTGATTTCTTTTTTAAGTGGAGTGAGAATTACCTCTTCTACCACTTTTGCTGCTTAAAAAAAAATTCAAGTGAAAGCAGTCATTGATTTTTACATTTAATCTAAGTTTTAAAAATTATACCATATTACATGACACAAAGCATGTCAAGTAATCCAAAAATAAAGTGAAGTGTTAGGAGTGGATAGGGGGTGTGTCCACAAGATTGACCTTTAATGAATCCTACTCCTGCAGAGTGGTCTAACAAGAATATACCCAACATTTTGCTTAAGCAGCTAGGGAGATTATTCATGTGCCATATGTTGTATATTTATTTTATGGAAGAATTTAATTCTCAACATTACATGGTACAATCATTTTATGGAAACCTGTCATGCTAAACAATATCAAGAGATGAAAATGTTTAGATGCTCTTTTGTGGGGATTAGACTGAGCAATAAGAGGATATATGGCTTATTTTCTGATTCATGTAAGGTTGTTATCCACATGAAAGGGGAAATGAGCCACACGAATATTTCACTGGTGAATGTTACCCAGACAGACTTGTGATTATCTGTCCAGTAAAACAAGCAGTTTGGGATCTGGTGGTATGAGACGTGGAACTTAGGAAAGGACATGCTTAGAATTAGAATCATTACCAGACATCATTCACATGCCCTTTGGGAGAGGGTTTTTTTCTTATATTATTGGTGAAAAAGAATTTATTATGAATTTTTTTAGTAACAGGAGTAAAAAGGTAACTTTCATTCTCTGCTTAAAAACTAACCAAAGGACTCATCTTTGGATACTTGCTTGTTATAACTAAACTGTATGCTGAGATAGAAGGAAACATAGAACCATGGCATTAAAATGAAATAAGGATTTAATCTGAAAAGTGGTCCAATGATTTTTACAACTAAAGTGTAAAATTTCGAATGTTAGAATTGTCATGCTAACATGGGCTTTGTCCCTTGCATTTGTGATATCACATCCCATAGTGTGCTGAGGAATGCATCAGGGGAGTGACTTTGCTTCAGAACATATGTTACCAAGAACATACAAAGTTAGCAGTCAGACAGCTTTTAATACTTTGTACTTTGTGACATTCTTTCAGAAAAGTCATTGGAAGGACAGCTCTTTCAGTGATGTATTTTCAATAAAGTGCTGGAAGACCCTTTTTTCACAGCAAAGGGCAGCATAGTTGTCTTGTGACTAAGCCTGTCATTTAACAAGGTTTATCACTCATTTATGTCCTTTTATGAGTGTCTACTGCATTTATTAAAATTTATCTCGATGAAAATGAGTCACCAACATCAACGTCAATAAATTCCTCTTAAAGAGGAATATGATATCTGACCTTCAAATACCTCTTAAAAACAGCATTTAACAGTTTCCTCTTAACTGGTGTACTAATGATTAGCTGTATTTTCAAGACAAGACAAGAGTCTGACAATTTTAAGATGAGAAAATCCTATCTTGGCAATGATCAAGTCAAGGGATCAATTCAATGCGGTTTAGTTTTCCTCAGACTCTTAAGTTGACATTTGTGGCCGCTCCGCTGCTTGGTAGGCCGGGGACTAGAAACGGAGCAGGGACTAGTTCACCCTCTGGGTTTGTGCTTCCTGCAGTGGTATGTGAATGTCGTAAGATTTCAGGATCAGTAACGTTCTCATTACCTGTAGTTTCCTGGCAGAATGGTGCTTGTTCAAGTGGCATGCTATGATTTATTATGTGAATTTGGAATATGCAGAGAATGTTCTGGGGGCAAGAGTCTACTATTATTACTATTGCTTTGCTTTGCTTCAGAGTGGACATTTTTGCAAATGATAGAAATGATCTCTTTCCATCTTTCAACAAAACAGACAGTGGACCCCCAGTAAATGTGCTTAGTTAGGCCATGGGAAAATACAAGAGGACAATCATTAAAATCTATTTCACTTTCTCTATCTTTGAAATACTTAAGATAAAGAGAAAGAAACAAAAGCAATCCAAGAACTATCTTTTTTGTCTTTTCTACAGCTTGAGAGAAAACCATGACATTAAGCTACTTCTACATAACCTCTTCCAAAAAGTTGGACCTGTCTCCATTAAATTTGTTCTAGGTGTGAATCTGTGCATTACTTTTAATCTGTTGCAAGCAATTACCCACTGCAAAATAATCTTGACAAAGAGGGACTTCCATATTTGTTTACTTTAGTGAACTTTAATGAACACTTACTCTAGGACACCAACACTTCCCATTATTTCAGAACATGTCATGGGCAAGAGAAGTTCGTGGACAATTTTACTAACATTAGCATAGTACTTTTTGTTGATTTGCGATCTATACATATGACACTGAAACTGTGGACAGCAGCCTTTTCATACAGGAAACTGAACATGTCTTTTTTTTTTTTTTTTTAAGTAAGGCCCTCTGTGGAGTCCTTTGAACCATAACTATATTAAATTGATTCAGTATTTTCAAGGCTAGCCCATGGAATGCAATCATCACCTCTTCAGAGACTCCACACCCATGAAGCTGCATTTTAAAATATTTTTAGTGTATGGGATTCTTTCTTTTTCTTGTTTCTGAAGGTTCTAGAGCAAACTTTTATTTCTCTTTCAACAAAAAAGCAGTGATAAAGAGTGGTTGAATATCTTTTTTTGTACTGTTTCACCCCCCGCCCCCCTCCTCCTTTCTCTGCACTCTTACCTGACATTAGTCACACACACAGCGGTCTCCAGTCCACTCTTCTCCATGTAAGTGTAGATGTCTCCATGGGCAAAGGCCACCAACCACCACATGATGGCGAAGAGCAGCCAGCTGCAGAGGAAGGACATGGTAAAGATGACCAGAGTGTGGCGCCACTTCAGGTCCACCAGGGTCGTGAAGATGTCCTGCAGGAATCGCCCTTGCTCGCGGATGTTCTTGTGCGCCAGGTTGCAGGCCCCGCTCTTGGCGATGAAGCGGGCTTTGGGGAGGCGGTCTCGGACGCGAGGCTTGCGCAGGTTCTCTGCTGCGATGCGCGCCAGCACATACTCCTCCGGGATGATGCTCTTTCTGGCCAACATCGTCCCCTGACCATAGCCAGCCAATCCACCTGTCGCTGATCCGGTGTGCCTTCAGTTTGGTTCCGTCCTCCTGCAAGAGGGAAACGATAACTGAAAGCACTGCCCGGTTTCCTCACCTCCCCCACCCTCCCATTTCTTCGCCTCTTTTCTTGCCTTCTGAGTAGGTTTCTACAGTCAAGATGACACGCAAAGCTAAAGGAAGGGTCTGACTTCTCTAAACTTGATTCTAATCTGTACTTAAGTTCTGGGATGCCAGCCAATTTGGTATGAACAGAGGTTTGATTTTTTTTCCATTAAAATTCAGAGCACATATGGGCATAACGTTGATTAAGCAAAACTCAGCCTTCCCGAAAACAGTTATCTCTGATAATTCGGAGAGGAACGGTGGTGCCTGTAGATTAATGCAAGGATACAAAGATGCCGCGTCTATAATGAAAATTAAGTTCAGCTGGGTACATGATATACTTATTAAAGCATTTGCATGATACAGCAATATTAAAAATAAAGGGGAAGTGCTTCCCGTTAGTTTACAAAAGGCAAAGAAAAGGCTGGGAGTTTGCGCCGTTTAAATAAAAATGTTTAGAGTAAACTGGAAAAAAAAAAACCTGACGTGCTCTGTAACTTGAAATTTTCTGATATTTTAAATATGAAAGGATGAGTTGCCTTAAAAATAAAAGACAACTTTTCTTGCTGAAAATCATTGTGCAGTACTGTAAGCTTGAAACTTCTTTACAACGTAGGGATTAAATATCAAAACTCCAGGAATAAAACCCTGACAATAGCTAGCCTGCAGCGGCAAATGAAATTAAAAGAGCTTGGCTTCAAAGCCCTTCCAATCTCGGAAAAAAACCTCTGCAGAACTTCGCATTTTTAATCTTTTTCGGGAGACCGACTTCCCCCTCCCTGCCCAGGAGGAGCGCGGAAACTTACAGTCTGTGGACAGCGGCCCCTCGGAGCTGGCTCTCCCAACCCCGACGCTCCAGGGCCAGACACGGAGCTCTAGGGAGAAGTTAGAATAATAAAAGGTGCCGTTGACTCTGGAGGTGGGGAGGGTGGAGGAAGAGGGGGGATGGGTGCAGACCTTCCCCTCCCCACACACCGGGGCCCCAGCTGCTGGTGGAGGAGGAGGGGCTGCACAGGAGGACCTCAGGAGGATGGTCCACAGATTAGCCTCCTAGTTCTGGCTGAGATGCAAACCAGACCTTGGAGGCCTCGGAAGTAGCCGGGTGGCAGAGGGGAGGGGTGGTGGGGAGCGGCCCAGGGGAGGGGCGCCCGAGGAAGAGGGCGGGACCTGTAGAAAACGCTGCTTTCTGCGTAGCTGCGACCCCCAGCCTCCTGCCTGTCCACCAAGACTTTAAAAGGCTGCCTGTGGGGGGAGAGAACTTGCAGAGCTCAAGTTCAATGACGTAAAAAGAATTTAAAAAATAGATTTTTCCCCCTGGTTTTGTACCCTGGGTAGATGAATGGGCTGCTTCAGATTGAAATAAAACCAGAGACAATTGAGAAAATTGGCTTCTTAGGTGTTCAAGGTAGGTGTGCACTTGGTTTTTGACAACACATTTGCATCCAGTGAGAAGGTTCTGGTAGAAGAGGTCCTGAAACCCATTCTAGTTCAGTTGTATGCTTCTTCATCTGACAGTTTGTTCAGAGAATGGGTTTCTCTGTCTCTTGCACACTAATACCCCCTCCTCCTCCCCACCCCTCCCCCACCCCCAGTACTGAGAAAGTAACCCTTGCTTTCTCTCACACTGATGAGCATTTACCCCAGAGGGGACCTTGTCTTCAGTAACTGGCTGCCAGCTGAGAAGTTGCAGTTTCTCTCCCCAACACCCCCCTCACTCTCACCCTGCCCTGCTCCCCACCCATGAGCCCAATGGTAAAACAGAGCAGTTGTGCACTGGGACGATAACACAGCAAATATCTTCATGCAGTTATTTGAAACGGAGCCAGCAGAGACAAATGAGCTTTCTCCACAGGTCAAGCCACTTGCTTTGGCACTTGTATTAATGGAAACTTTAATTCTTGGAAATTTCATGGATTTTCCAAGACTCAGAGCAGAAAGTGTATAGAGCATAAACAGTATGTTCATTCAATTATCAAAGACCTAAAATTAGTCTTGAGTGAAGGCAAATGAAAAATAATTTCCCCCCCGTGAATAAGTCTGCTTAACTGCCTCAAGTCCGAGTCCACAGCCTCTGAGTGGTCGCTTTTCTCTCCACCTCACTGCTTTCTACAGAACTTGTATAGTGACCTTGCTACAAATATTTCCATTTCACAATGGAGTCTGATGTATGACTTAGTTCAGAGAGTATCCACTGCACACTTTCTTCTTCTTTTAAAGATTTTATTTATTTATGCTTACAGAACAGGAATACAGGCAGGAGGTATGATGGGTGAGAGGATTCACCAGAGACAGAGTGGGGAGCAGACAGGCAGATTGACAAAGTACACTGCTGAGGGGAGCAACGGGCGGGTCAGGAGAGATCTGACATGCCATGTGCGTCAGCTCCCTGGCTGGGGATGGCACTTGTGCTATAATAGCTTCAGAGAGCTTCATAATGTGATGCTTTAACCCATTGTGCCACCAGGGAGAACCAACACTTCTGTTAAGTTTACTTTTTTAGGTTTATATGTATAAAATCAAAGTTGGTAATCATAAGAGGCAGACAGATGTGGTCATAGACCAGCCGTTGGTGATAAACCAATGCATGTATGGATGTGATTACAACAAGAAAGGAAATACATCTTGTGTCATGGAAATTCAAATGAGAGATACTAAGAGGAGGCGACTAAAGAAAGCTTGATGGATTGATTGATATCTGATCTAGTTTGGAAAGATTAGATTTGGCATAGGCAGGAAAGCAGAAAAAAGACATTCACAGAGGAGAGCCTTAGGAGCAATTTTAGGGAGTATTGACAAGAGGCCATGTTATAGCAGCAAGCTACTTCAGTCAGCACTGAGGCAGCAAGGTCAGCAACACAGCAGCCCTGAAGCTCTACTCTGGAACTCCCTGGGCAGTCACCAACCTGGACACACAGTATGTTATTCACATACTGACCTCCCCTCTGCCCAACAGCCCATGAAATCAGGGCTGCTAGGCCAGTGATTTTATTATAGGGCAGTAAATCTGTTCCAGAACAGGAGGAGAGGGATACTCCTGAAGCCCCAAAACCTGCCTGCTCTAAGTGGGTTCTGCCATCCGCCACAACAAGACAAAACATATAAAACTTTAATGAAAAGGGACTTTAATACAGTGAATATACAATATGGAACAAAGAGAATATAGCTTCTAAATCAAACACCTGAAGTTACCCACCCCCTCGTGGGCAAAAGTCAACCCAAAAGGGATGGGCCCAAAGCAAGGCCTGAAAGCCTGCCACTAGACAGACTAAAGCACCTTCTGGCTGGGACACATGGAAAAGGGTCAGAGATGGCCAGACAAATCTGGCAGGAAAAGAGCAACATCAAAATCAATATAAACACTGCCATAGTCACCTCCCTACAGGTATCTCACCCACATCTGCCTTAACCAGTCCAGGGTCAGGAAACAAGCACGGTTTCTTCATCACATGCTTGCTGCTCCCTGTGGCTTCCTCAGGTCTCCTTCTGGCTCTCCATCCAGCTTCCTTCTCTTCTTCTCTCTTCTCCTTTTTCTCTGTTCAGCTCCACCCTCCTGTCCCTGGGTGGGGCAGGGAACCTGGAACTTCCCTTTTTCTTAGGGACCACCTTGTTACAATATGTTTTTCTTAGTTTATCATAATCTTCTAGCATAGCTCAAATTCCTTTGCAAGGTGCTCAGATTCTTTTAAATCAATGTCTGGAAAAGGTGAACTCAGAAGCATGTTGGGATCTTGGAGGAAACATGCATACATAACCTTAAATGCTCAGCAAGGTGGTCTGGATAGTTCAGGGTGGAGTGCTGAAAACAAGGAAAGTTTTGCATAGAAGACAACACAGGAAGAGCCCGCTTTGGGAGGGTGAACAGCAGAGGCCTCTATGGCGCAGAGGATTCTCTGAGTAGAGTCCCTGCAGGTTCCAACATTCTGTGACAGGCAGAGGGGATACTGAGAACTATTGACACGAAAGGAATGAGGTCTGGGATGCATAAGCCATGTCAGTAGGCAATTTATAATTTGGGCAATCTGTCATGCAAAGGAATGTTACAATCACTGGGAGCAGGTGGTTGTGAGATTTATTGTAAAACAAATAGTAGGAATATTGGACTGACGAGATGAACGACTGTGGAAAAACAGGAGAATATTCAGAAATAAATCTATATCTGTATCCTGTGAAGATTCTATTTGGTGACAATGCATATGTAGACCTTATATATATATGTATATATATATATACACACACACACAAACATTCAAAAACATTTACTTCCCCATATATGTGTGTGTGTGTATATATATATACACATATAGGTATACGTATATGTATATATATACGTATATGTATATATATACGTATATGTATATATATATATATATATATATATATATATATACACACACACGTGTGTATATGTATGTATGTAAATGTATATACGTATATGTATATATATAGTAATGAGATATATTCTTTCAAACAGGCAAGTTTGAAAGCAAGTTTGGATTTTTTGAAATGACAAGCTATAACCATACTTTCTACTAGTTAGTACTTTAAATTGATTTCAGAATAAGCACTAAGAATACATATCACAGAGGTAAGTTATTTAGATGTTGGCAAATAAACATATGACAGCAGTATGCCTGAAAACATACAGTAACCATTTAGACAAAATATAAAGAAAGGGTGTTATAAGAGTACAGATTTTCTTTTTCTTTTCTTTCATTCCTTTTATGCCTTAAAAAACTCCTTCTTTTTTTTTCTTTTACAGTATTCTTCATTTTGTGCATTTTTTCATCTCGGTTCTAATCCCTGTGGACTTCCCCCAACCATTTCACCCATGTGCCGTCACCATCGTCTCGTGCGCTCCTCCCGCCCCAGAAGCCCCTGCCATTTATGTCTTTTTCCTCTGTTTTTTTTTTTGGCATTGGGTGGAAGCTGGGTAAGGGCACATGCTTGATGCTGTGGGCACACGCTGTGCCCTGCGTTGCTGTCCCTTGAAGCAGTCCTCAGTGTGGACTTGTCCAGTGAAGGGAAGAAGGACTAAGTACACAGTTTGCAACACATGCTTATCACTTTCTTGCATTTACTCTCATTTCCCCCATGTTTTTGCAGTCATTTCTTATAACTCACACAGTAATCTGAAATCTGGCAATTCTGGACTTAATAGAAGCACTTATATCCTTCAAAGGATGCATTGTAACTGGTGAATAGATAGTAATTGCTTGATCTCTAGTTTCCTCTTTTGATCATCTTTTCTCTTATTATGTTCCAAGCAGTGAACACTTAAATTTAGTGCTGAGAAATTTATGAATGGAATCCATCTTTCAAGCACCTAAGGTGTCTTTTATTCATCTAATTATTAAATAACATTTTGCTATAATAAAAGTTTCATGTGTTTTCTTAGTCTCTACTTAATTTTTTCAGGAGTGAGGGCTAACTTTCTTTACTCCTACTAGAAGACACCAGTAATACATTTAGAACAGAGCTAGCTTTTTAAAATCTTACAATTTTCTTGACTAATTAGAAATCCTATTAGAATCTGCTTATGTTGGAGAAATGTCTGAAATAGGGAAGCAATCCCAGGCTGTCCATTCACTTGGAAGTAGGCATCCATTAGGATCCTACAAGCATTTTATATGTAGCTAAAGCATTTTACATTTTCCATGCATCTAAAATATAATACTGTGTGTCTTCAGACAAGAGGAGAAAGTATTAGGTTGATTTTCCCAGATTGTTTACTAAATACCAATCACTGAATTCGTTGGAAGTATTCTTGAGAGGAAGGGTGAAGTCTGGGTGTTTGATCACCTTGCCTTTGACTGGGCTTGTGAATTTTGAACTCTTAGATTTTCTGAGCCATATTGGACTTAAGAATTTGGAGAGACTTCAGAATGACAGTGGAAACGATTCATGTTTGCGGCCCAAATAACAGTTGGTCGGTTTGCTGCTTTATTAGTGTCCTCATATAAACCACTTTGGAATGTATTGCTTTGGAATCAGCTTAATAAAAGTGTTACATAAACTTGTAATCAAAACAACATG